AGCAGCAGAAGAGATGTGGAGCAGCAGCAGCACAAGATGGACTTTCAAATGGGGAAACAACCACTAGAATGGCATTTCCCTGAATAAAAAACACCAACCTGCCAACAGGAAAATCATCTTTCAAACAAAAAGAGACAGATAACTCACAAATACCTTGCAGTCCTCCGTGATTTACTCTTACCTCTGTGATGTTTTCTTGTATTTTCTCCTGCAGGAAAAGAACAAAATACAACTGAGATAGGAAGGCTCCACAAGTGAGGAGAAAAGGATAGGGTCAGAAATCAGGAGCAATTCAGTGAAGTCACTTCTGCCGTAAGATTGCCCCAAACCTGATGTAGCCATTCCCTTCTGCTGACCTCAGTGGTGGTTGCCACTAAATTCAGGAGAAAAACTTGTGTATTTTCCTGCATGCACATACTGCCCTTTCTTGTGAGACAGGGGTGCCGCAGTTAAGAGAGAACGATTTACTATTCTAAACAACTTAGCAGGAAGTTCAAGTGTCAGAAACTTATTTGTACTTATTAGTAGGAGTTTTTATGTCTCTATCCAGTAGATAAGTATGGTTTTACCTGTAAAAATCTCACAAAGATGGGAGTGATGCAATGCATCCAGCCATATTGTCTATGGTCACTCTGTAGAAAACCCCAGTAGTTTTAAAAACAAAGTCTAGATCCTGCCAAATTCTCTTTTCCACCAAATCCCAGATGCCACACCACTGAGCTTCCCTTTGTTGCATATATCTTGGGACTTAACTAACCTTAGCCCATGGCAAAAAGTAATGTAGTGCTATTTTCTACGTAACAAGGGCCACAAATAATGTCTCCTTGCTGTCAAATGTTTCATACAACAAATACCTTTACAAATTGTACTCCTGGTTGTACTCACTTATGGATTCTAACCATGTTAGAATCATAAAAATCCCAAATATCTACTTTAAGAGATATTTCATATACAATTTCCTCTGGGAAGAATTATGTATTTTAACTTGAATAGATGCAAAGGAGTAAAAGAGCAAACTTTCATCGCAGTATAAAGTTTGTAGCTTACTGACATTCAAGACGTTGACACATACAAGCAGAAGCCCATTTAGGCTGATTCTAAGAGAAATTTTCATTTCAGAAGGATGAAAAGTAGAAATTTTATGTTGAAGACTGTATATACAGAAGTATTCTGTATTCTGACAAGTCTAGAACTTCATTATATGTTCTTGCCAAAAAACCTGCTGAAAAATACCCCACCTGGTTGGCCATTCCAATCCACACTGATTAAAAGATCTTATTCCCAAGAAATCCAAATTTGTTTAAGTTTTCAAATGAAGTTATTTACAAGTTAATTCTTTCCCCTGAAATCCTCTTACAGTTCATTCCAACACCACCAGAACTATTTTTTCCTTTCTCGGTTAGTGACTTTAATAAAGTGTTTCTCTTTAAGCCAAGCGTCACATTTGAGCAAAGAAAACATTTGTTAAATCACGACTAACATTTCCGTGTATAGTTTAAACAGATGACTCAGCCTTAGGGTGCTCTTTGTGTTTGAGTAATAACAACGCTTTTCTGATCAGTTACACCTTTATTCCTTTCACTCAAAAATATTTTTAATGCATTTGAAAGCTGTACTGTCACTGACGACAGTATTAGGAAAAAACAATTTGTCTAAGTCATAGAAATTAAAAAAAAAATATATACTTTTATTGGTTTTGTTTATTGTTTCCACACCTGCAATCCAATCACAGTTAAGGTTTACATGCACCAAGCTCGCAACTGAATTTGAAAGTATTGAATTTGCATGTCACAGTTGAAGAGAATATAATTAGAGGAATATATTCCTTGTTTATAGGTTCAGTATCATGACTGTGTGCACACATTTTAAAGAGAACACCATTAGCAAATCCTGATATCCAGGGAAAAAAATTCTCTATGCATTTCAAAAATAAGGTCTAACAATGCTACTCACCAACATTACAGAAAGATGGTGTTGATAACGTAAAGCTGTTCATAAATATAGTTGTCAGTTTCCTTTTCATAGAATCATAGAATCAGCCAGGTTGGAAAGGGCCTCTGAGATCATCAAGTCAAACATTTGATCCAACACTAGATTACTAGACTATGGCACTAAGTGCCACATCCAGTCTCATCTTAAAAACCTCCAGGGATGGTGAATCCACCACCTCTCTGGGCAGGCCATTCCAATGCCTGATTACCCTCTCTGTAAAGAATTTCTTCCTAATGTCTAACCTAAACCTCCTCTGGCAGAGCTTAAGCCCGTGCCCTCTTGTCTTACTGATAGTTGCCTGGGAAAAGAGACCAATCCCCACCTGGCTACAACCTCCTCTCAGGTAGTTGTAGAGAGTGATGAGGTCACCCCTGAGCCTTCTCTTCTCCAGGCTGAACAACCCCAGCTCCCTCAGCCTCTCCTCATAGGACTTGTGCTCAAGTCCCTTCACCAGCCTCGTTGCTCTTCTCTGGACCCGCTCCAGCACCTCAATGTCCTTCCTGAACTGAGGGGCCCAGAGCTGAACACAATACTCAAGGTGTGGCCTCACCAAGGCAGAGTACAGGGGAAGGATCACTGCCCTGCTCCTGCTGGCCACCCTGTTCTTGATCCAGGCCAGGATCCATTGGCCTTCTTGGCCCCCTGGGCACACTGCTGGCTCATGTTCAGCCTCCTGTCGATCAGCACCCCCAGGTCCCTTTCTGCTCTGTGCTCTGCTCCAGCCACTTTGTGCCCAGCCTGGAGCGCTGCAGGGGGTTGTTGTGGCCAAAGTGCAGGACCCGGCACTTGGCCTTGTTGAACTTCATCCCATCATTGGAGTCAGCCCATCTCTCCAGTCTATCCAGATCCCTCTGCAGAGCCCTCCTGCCTTCCGGCAGGTCCACACTCCCTCCCAGCTTGGTGTCATCTGCAAATTTACTAATGATGGACTCAATGCCCTCACCTAAACCATCAATAAAGATATGAAACAGGACTGGGCCCAGCACTGATCCCTGGGGGACACCACTGGTGACCGGCTGCCAGCTGGATGCAGCCCCGTTCACCAGCACTCTCTGGGCCCTCCAGCCAGTTCCTGACCCAGCACAGAGTGCCCTGTCCAAGCCATGGGCTGCAGCTTTTTCAGGAGAATGCTATGGGAGATGGTGTCCAAGGCTTTGCTGAAATACAGATAGACCACATCCACAGCCTTCCCCTCATCCATCAGGCAGGTCACCTGATCAAAAAAGGAGATCAGTCAGGTCAGACAGGACCTGCCCTTCCTAAACCCATGCTGGCTGGCTCTGATCCCTTGTCCATCCTGTAGCTGCTGTGTGATTGCACTCAGGATGATCTGCTCCATAACCTTGCCGGGCACTGAGGTCAGGCTGACAGGCCTGGAGTTTTCCAGGTCCTCCTTGCAGCCCTTTTTGTGGATTGGCATGACATTCACAATTCCAATCATCTGGGACCTCCCCAGTGAGCCAGGACTGTTGGTAAATGATGGAGAGCAGCTTGGTGAGCTCTTCTGCCAGCTCCCTCATCACCCTAGGGTGGATCCAATCTGGTCCCATATACTTGTGAGGATAACATTGCAAATACAGTTCCAACATCTACCTGCTTTATGGTTACACACCACCACTTACACTTGCCTTCCATTAAAGGAGACAATTGAAAACAAGGAAATTAGAAGGTACTTCTTCAGTACCATAGCCATCATCAGAGACTGTCTTCAGTGAGCATCCATGTGTAAATTAAAAAGAGGAAACTGGAGGGTGGGGATTTGGATCTGGTTGGGTGGGGTTTTTTGTTTGGGGGATTTTTTTAGTGCAAGTTTTTGTTCAGTCATTTATTAAAAAACAAACAAACAAACCAACCAACCAAACAGACAAACTATCCTGATTTATGTCCCCACGAAGAGTCTACTAAGTGAGGAACTAGCTACAAAATTGCTTTTAGCAGATGCTTTGGGATAAACCTGGAAACAGACAGATCTTCCAGTCAAGTTCAAGGGACTTCTGATTTTCTGAACAAACCCAAGTTATACCTCTTTCCTAGGAGAGGAAGAATGAGAGGGATTTAAAGGAGGTGATGTTACAGCTTCCAACACCCATGGGCTGTCGTGTGCTCGTGCCTGCAATAGGCTTGTTGATATTACCAAATCTGATTATGTTCAGTTTCTTTTCTGACTTCACACATGTCATAGTTGAACTGCCACATTCCTTTAATTCGTGTTACCTGCTGTGGAATGTATTATTCATAGGCCTAAATTTAGCTTACATTGAAAAAAAATTAATTGGAACCAAGTAGATCTATTTTTCATGCTGAAGAGAATTATCAGGTGACTCACACTAGGTAGGTCCCATATAACCAGTGTAAACTAAAAATAACTTTACTGACCTTGATGCAGTTACACCTGCAGGAGTACACTATGAAGCGAGCCAGTTCTAGTACAAGAAGGCTGCCAGAGCCTAATGAAAATAAACCCTGTAAGGCATTTAAAAATAGATACTTTGTAAGCAAAATGATGCGGAGGATGAAATTTTTTACTCAAATAATATGAAGTTAAAAGAGAGTTGAGCCTGCTATTTCCATATCTGCTCTTCTGGGGATGAATAAATCCTTCTTGTGGCCAGAGGAATGACATAGTATACTGACCCAAAATAAATTTAGGACAGATTTTTAAAGGTATTTAAGTAACAATAAGATGTAGCTAGCTACAGCTGTATGGGCACTCAACTCTCAATGAAATAAACAGACATAATAAATTTCTCTCTGTGCTTTGATGCCCATCAACTTCTCCAAGGGTACACATCTGATCTCAGGGTTATGTTTCTACTTCTGCCCTTTAATTCCAGTGTACCCGCAGCTAAATTTTTTTTCCTGGTATTTCCCCTTAAGACCTATTCCAAGTTCGTTAGCTCTTCAAGGTTGTGGCTTTAACTATATAGGGTTTTGGACATCAATTCATGCATATATTTTCAGGCTGGATTTGTGCTTCTTAGTGAAAAAGAGAGCAAAACTATTTAGGGCACCAGGAGACTTGTAAAAGTGAATCTGCTGCAGTGGTTTAAAAAGATGTTGTCACTACATGCCTTGTGTACAATCACAGATCTGCACCTGGGCATCGGCTGCTTCAGTGCAACCTTTTGGCTTAAACTGCCAACAGTGGTGGCTTGAAGCAAAGATGCCAGGTTCTGTACTGCAGCAACTGCAGCAAACTCCTTACTGCCC